ATTCCATGACTGAATCATAAACGCTACAGTGGTATTTCAATCTCAGATTCTGCTGATGCTCACAAACTGAACTATACTTGTGCGGTTTACGCTGTCAGCAGAACCCCTTGACTGAACACCATGTCATTCATAAGATAAAGCGTCCAAGAGGCAATTCACCAGGTCTTAAGAAGGAAAGTGTGATGACCTCAATCCCTTTAGAAAGGGTGCCTCCCTAAAAATACCTTTAGAAAGGGAGACAGAAGGATTCTGCAAGAATCTCATCTCTTACTTAAGGAGCAGGTTTTCATGCTTAGCATGCTGCATTTTTGCCCTAAATTATTCAGTATTTAAATTGATCTTTCTCCTTCACAACAGCTACTCACAAAACACACAAAACATACACAGATCCAGGTAGTAAAGTAGTCAACGCAGTTATAACTCCCTTCTATTCCAGGTTACAGACTGTTCAAAAGGTATTACTGCAGTAGGTGCATGCGTGCTTTATTAAAGCAGCTCTCTGTTCTATATACCAGTATTCGCGTTTATTCTTTGTGACACCAACTACAAGCTGAGCCCCAGTTATTTACAACTTGTGTGTCTCTCAGCAGGACCATGATTCAGTAGTTTTGTTTCTTAATGTTTCTTAATTCTTAATCTAGAATATGAGTTATTACACAGCCTCAAAAATTAACTTCCATGCCCTTTATTCCCCCTACTCACCCTCTGCAATTCTGAACTAATTCAGAAATTCAAAGTGTCTTTTTTGGGGGGTGGGGGGGTAGACTGCCAACAAGTGATGAAATAACTGAATTGCACCACAACCACCAAGACAACTGAAACCTGAACAGAAGGGATTTCTGCTCAACATGATCCTTTGTGTTTTGTTTTCTGATTACTGCTTAAATTGACAAGCCTGATAAACATCTGCAGGGAAGATTTGTTAGATCTTTCACAAGCATCAGTTTAACTGATGGAAATAGGCAAATACTTTTGCTCACTGCTGCAGTAAGAAAATATACCCCCCCCAAAAAAAAATCACACAGTTCTCATTCCCTCCAGGGAAGATAGGTATTTGATATCTGCAGTATTTCCACAGTAAAACTAAGAATATTTTTGGTTGTTTTAAGAGTTGTGTTCACCATATACTAGAGAAGGGGGAGGAAAAAAACCACACACACAAAACCACTTTTTTTCCCCTTTCCCAGTTCACCTTTAAAGGCTAATGGATCCCCCAAATTTGCCCCCTAACTCCTCAGTACAACTGATACAGACTTCTGAATAACACAGTACTAACAGACTGAAAGGCACAGGCTGGAACAATAGAAGCAACAACTGAATATGGACTGCAGTAAGTTCTTTATGAAGGTTAATGATTGCTACACTACTGGAATCTCGATAGGATATTCTATTTTCCATGCTGAAGTCTTGGACGGACATCTAGCACCCAAGAATAAAATGCCTTTATGTGACAAAACCACGTTACCTATCAGGTACCAGCAAAACTATGCACTTTATTGCCTGATTAACATTTCTAATAAAGAGCAAAAATTCATAGCGCTTTTTGGGAGATTGCGTACAGGTAAACAGAATCTGAGAGGAAAGGAAACAGTGTTCCTTGCTCTCGATAACCTAGAAAGTGCATAGGAAAGCCACAGAATCCCAACTAGTTAGTGTCTGCAGCAGGTGAGCTTCTGGTTTATTCTTTTGTAAGAGCTGCAGGAGGCACAGGGATATCAACAACAAAACAAGTCACAAACACACACAAAATTTTGCAATATCCACTACGCCTGTCACAAGCGTTCTCTGCAGAGACAGATGGTCTATGCTTCTATTAGCGATGAATAATGAGATGTGAAGTGAAAGGTGTGAGATGCCGTTTAACCTTGCTTCCCCCCAACATCGTAAGTCTTGAACTGTATAGCATTTGATATTTTTGTGGTTATAAAACACCAAGAACAATAACAATCACAAGTTAGCTACGCACCAGTTACTTTGCTGTCTCTAAAATCAAATTTGTTCCTATTTTAGCCTTCTTCCATATTGGCAAGCTGAACTGCTTGCAATAAAACAATGCAATAGCCAGCTGCAATTAAAAGGAGGTACCTTGTGAGTGACCCGTCATCCTCTGACAAAGCCAGGCAACACGATATCAGCCACTTCTTCACCCCTCATATATAAATTAGCTTCATTTAGTCAAAGGATCTTGGAAAAGCTATTCTGACTTAGCCCACAATTCCAAAGATCAGCTAAACTAGCAAGAGCTGGTAAAGCAGTCAACTGGGAACAGTCTCACCCTTTCCTCCACTTCTGTCCAACTGTTCTACGCTTGCATGGCTGCTAGCACTGCTATGATCACACAGTGAATTAACGTCACGGACTGAAAACTAACCTGGCAAGAGCCATTAAAATAGGTGTCTTTTTCAGCTGGATCAGAGCCTTGATTTGGTTCACCTGCAGTCACGCACTCTCTAGAACAACAAAACCTGTGAGGAAAGACTAAGGAAACTGAGCTTGTTCAGTCTGGAGAGGACATAGAATAATGGTCTTCAAAATAAGTAAGACGCAGCTGCAAAGAAAAAAGGAAACAAACTGCACATACATTACAGATCTGACAAGCTGCAACAGGTTTAAACCGTAGCATAGTAGGCTTATGCAAGTATAATAAGAAGTTAAACACCAAAACAGATTGCTTAGGGCAGTCACCGCCGTTTTTTTTTTTTTTTTTTTTTTTTTAAAAAGAAACAGGTTGATGGCTACCTGTCAGGAATGGATTGGGTATACTTGATCCCAGTTCAGGAAACAGGGAGGGACTAGATGACTTTTGGAGACCAAAGAGTCATCTTCTGCTTGCTACACACTGGCCTAAGCAAGTAAGACTTAAAGAAAAAAAAATGGGGAAAGTTATCCTGACATGATGCATCAAGTTCTTACCCTCATCACTAATAATTAGACAATAGTTAAATCAAATGACAAATCCCTGCTACTCCTGCTCTCTAATAACTAAGATGTACTTCTGTTACATATGAAGCAGGCTATAAACCTCAAATTAAGAAAAAGGATATGAATGTTTTAAATGGCTTCACATTTTCATCTGAACTGGAATAGTGTTACATATCTGCAATAACCTGCTGAACAGATAACTCCCCTCTCTCCCGAGCCCCATCCAAGAGTCCTTTGCCATTACTATCACGTGACATAGGCCCATCTTTATCACCACTGTTTTGTGTTAGCTGAATATGGTCCGTAAAATATATCAAACTGCAAGGAGACTTTTATTGAAGACAAGCGTTCTGCAATGAAATCAAATTCCAAAAGCTGCATTTGACACACACGCAGCTATATTCCAAGACTATTTAGTCATTTTACATCTAAGCAGTAGTTCTCTCAACCATTTACCTACTTGTATTTAAAAGTGGAGGTTAGAAACAGTTTGAGTAGTCAATCAATCCACTAATGCATGCACCTTCTATATTCAAAGCTGCCAAGTAATAGCTGTCATCTGCAATGGAAGCCCAAGTGATTTTGAAAAATCTCTAAGCAATGTCAAAATACAGCTAAGCTCTCTGGACTGCTTACTAGTTTAAGAGTGTGTGTGTGTGTGTGTGTGTGTGTGCGTGTGTGTTCACATACTGCACTTTCCTTTATTAGCTTATACAAATAACCTGAGTTAACTCAAGTTATCAAGTCAAATACATTCCCCCACTTTTTTGCCTATCGCTGGCAAATCAACAAATAAATGCTCTAGAAAACACTGAACATTCTCACACAGCAGTTCTATATCCTGCTCAGGAGAGCAGCATTGGAACAGACTTGGAACATCAGTGCACACCGAGATGCCTCTCAAACACATCTACCATACATGAGAACAAGCATCAGCACATGTGTTAATTTGCTACCTGTTATATATCAGAGCAACTCAACTCTCTGAAATAATCATCTAAAAATATTTTTCCAAATTAATGGGCTATTTTAGAGAAAGTACAGTCCCTAGAGTCATGTGGATTTGCATATGTGCTTTCACAACTGGTTTTAATAATTTGTAGACAAAAATTCGGCAACATGATATATTTATCCAGGGAATACACATTATGTTGTTATTTAGGTAAATAAACATAATAGCTATTCCCCATCTCTTTTCAGCAACTCCATTCCTAGTTGAATTGGTTAATAACCATAAAGGTTTCCCACCTTCAGCAGAAGGTCAAATCTGCTATGCAGGAAATGCTTCATCTTTCAGGTGCACAAAGGCTTTACATAGCGCTTCTGGGATCACCACAGACACTATTGGGATCATCAGACGCATACTAGCCTGTAACTAATCTAACAGTTACCTTCACAATACACTACTAATGCTCCCTACAGCAATCCCTCTGCTCTTTTTCTCATGAATTTCAATGACAGTAAACATTTGTCTTTACTAGTAAGTAGTGGTTTACAGGAGCAATTCACATTTTCATGGTCGTTCTTTCATTTTAATAGCTTGTGTCAGATCTTAAGGTTTTGTGAGCAATTAGTCGGGAAATCAGCAAAGTCCAGTAACACGTGATATGCAGTGCTTTACATTCTTAATAAGTGAACGTTCTATGTCTGAAAAGTTTACTCTGCCCAATTGAATAACTATAAAATAGCAAAATTGAAGTGAATACTGAAAGAAAAAGTCCACATCTGTCGTAACTGCTGTACTGGTACCAAAATGTTTTGTTTCCTTCCTGAATTAGATTTCATATAGATCTCGCGCCAGTGAAAAAGACCAACTGGAAACCTACATTCATAAGATCAGCAGCAAAAACTGGAATCAGCAATGCCTCTGTAAGACAGCGTTACAATGGACTAGACGCTCATATCCATCCATCTCCATTTCCTTTGGAGGATTTGAAGGTACTACTTGCATTGACTAAAAATTCATTAAAAATCAGAAAAAGGAAAGCATCCCATGATTTTGCTTTTAGCAAATCCTTTAAATCCAAATTAAAGGCCTCACTAAAACATCCAACGTTAAGAATAAATAGCCTACTTACCTTGACACAAGTCCATGCCACAATCAGTTGAGATGAGCAAGAAGATTTAATGACAGACTGCTATCATGGGCCTTTGTTCCTTACAAATTAAAGTCAATAGTGAGAATGCAAGCGACACCCTGCAAGAGATGAGCATTATCCCCTCATCTAACAAAAAAAATTGAGAAACATTTAAAAACATTTCAGGTTAGTGAAAGTAACAAAAGAAAACAATATCCCAGTCCTGCTGCCAAGCCACAGTCAAAAGGAGCATAACTCCCATCAGTTCATGGGCCCATTGTTCAAAAGCCTTTTTCCAAACAGTATGACAAACATGAGCAATACTAACACAAATGCATGCACTCTCACTATTTATACATATACACACGCATGTGCATGCATATACATATTTATTTTAGCAGTGCAGGGCTCCAGCAACTATAGCAAATCCTTTCTTCAGGGCAAATAAAATACTCTTGCACAAGTAGGTTTTTTAAATCCAATTTGTCCTAACAAATAGAAAGGCATGAAATACATTACTACCCTTACGCAGACATTTATATTCCTTATTGTTAATTTGAAAAGGGAAATAACATTTCTTTCCAGTGGATGAAATACAAGTCTCATGATCTTGAAATACGTTAGAGGTAGCTGTTTGCCGTGAAACGTGCTTCCTAAACATGCAGTCAATATTAGCAGGTCTGTAAATTTCACCGTATCGAAAGTAAAATTTAGTCCACCATCTTATCACTTCAGACTTTAAAGAGTTTATAGCAACACATTAACAAAGTTCACCTGAATACAATTAGTAATTAAAAAAAACCCAAACACTTCCTACCTGTTTGAAGTTTAAGACTCTACTAGAATGCCAGACCAAAAAAATAAAGTTTTCTTCTATTAGATTCTTCACTGAAGCTGCTGCAAAATTATTCCATTCCCAAACAGCCTGACATTCAATACTGAGATGTTAAGATGTGACTTATCCTTTTCCAAGCAATCTCCTTGCTAATGCATCTCTCCCCACCAGCCTTCCCTGTGGCTGATACCTTTCCTACAAAGTTGCTCGTGATTCAAGCAGATAATTTCTGTCTTTAATCTGGATTCCAGCGGAAACTAAATTAACTTCTCAGTGCCTCAAATGGAAAGCACTGCATCAGAGAAGTCACGTGCGAGGAGTTAAGGTTGTCAGATTTACCAGGATATTATAACAAAGTATTTACAGAAGCATTCAAATACTCTCAAACAGGGTGCCAAACAGATACATAAACAAAAACGCACAGTTCTCGCATCCTACTTCTCCTTCCTATGTAAATACCATTCGCCAAAAGCCACAGAACTGGGAAATTAGAGTGGTAAAGAGAAAAAAAAAAAAAAGCAAATACCACGTTCAGCATAATGAACAAGTTACATGAGTAGTGCTCAGCAGGCAACTTCCAAGTCATATGCCGATAAATTAAGAGATTCATATAAACAGAAACATAGAAAATGGATCAGTATCTTTGCTCCAGCTCCACCTACACTACAGGAAGAGGTTCGTCTCTCCTTTCGGCACTCTAGACATACACCCTTCCTTGTATATGGCTAACCTTCCTACTTTACTTCAGAGTAGGACTGAAGGCCACAGCTGTACCTTTATCCCTCTAAGCCATACCCTAGCAAAGGTGCACAAAGTTGTGCAGTTCTGTCTGAAGAAGTATATACTTCAGCTCCTGCAACGGCGAAAGAAAACCCTTAGCAGAAGCTCATCCCTCACAAAGCATTTAAGCTCTGTAAAAGCCAAGTTTCATCCAGCCCTCAAAATGCTCGAGAGAACTCACGGAAGAGTTGTCAACTCTACACTGTTATCTTAGGGGGGGCCCTGTGTCCCTAGGAGTCCTGGGTATCTCCAGTTGCTGCCACTCCATCTTGCACACAGTGTATGAGCCAACACCAGCTGGCATTTCCAAAGCAGCTTGAGGGAATTTGTACCCATATCCCATTGTGGCAGCAGCTTGAGCAAAGAGCTACCTTCCTTCAGGCCCAAGGCATTTTGAAAGAAAACAATGCTCAACCTCATTAGCAATCTCCAAGGACTAACAGCAGCCAGTGATTTCTACATTTCACAGATGGGAAAGCAGATACAGACACTTGACCAAAATCATCATCAGCAAGGCTAACCAAAGACCTTGGGGGTCTTAACTTCTGTAACAGGTTGCCCAGAGAGGTTGTGGAGTCTCCTTCCCTGGAGATATTCAAAACCCGCCTGGACCCTGCTTGAGCAAGGGGGTTGGACTAGATGATCTCCAGAGGTCCCTTCCAACCTCAAACCATTCTGTGATTCTGTGAACCCCCAATCCTTTTATATAATCCTGCTTTTAAATATAGTCTTTCTACTGTGCTTAGAAGTTCACATTTTTAAATTTGATAAACCAACTCAAAGGTACAATTGCGGGAAACATTTCATGCTTAAACTAATTGTGGCTATAGATGCACAAAACTCATGCCAAAAATTTGTACTGAGGACACTCACCAACAGTCACCACACCCCAAATACAATGTCCAATTCAAACATCCTGAAGCAATGGGAGAGAAACAAATGTCTCCTCCTCAATACACATATATCCTATTGGCATCAAGAGAATTCAATGCACCTATTTTTGGGGGGTGAGGGGGAGAGGGAACAGAAAACAACTACAGGATTAGAGGCTTTTTTTTTTTTTTTCCGCTAAGTTCGTGTTTGACAATAGCTTTTTAAAAGACATTTGTCATTAACAAACTTTAGACAAGGTTAATGAAAGTTCTGTCACTTTAATGTCTAGTCTGCTTTAAATTACAGATGTCATCTGCCATGACTAAAGAAAGGGCATTGTGTAATAATACCATAAACTATCATCTCCTGGGACACATAGGTAATTGCATAGCTCATTAAAAAACTGTTTTAATTATTAATTGACCATGTCAAAGTTGTCCTTTGAAGTCAAATTTTTTTTTTTCTTGCAAGCATTATGATTCCAAGCTGACCTACAGAACTTTACTACCTAAAGGAACCCGAAGGGAAGGTTCGGGACCAGCTCAGAGCATCGTGACCACGTCTACACAGCAGAACTGTGGCACAAACTCACGCATAGCTAAACTGCAGCAGAAAGTGAGAATTAAGATATGAAGGGAAAAAGACTTAAGACATTTGCTGGCCACTGAAACTGGAGATAGAATTAAAAACATCTGAATGGTTGACAAGCTGCAGCCAAAAAGATTGCAAGATGACTTTTGCTAGCTCCTGCTGGTGCAAAATCATCTGGCCTGTCATCTCTACTGAGTCTATTTTGCCCTGTTCCTACCTAAGCTCTGATACATAAGAGGAGGGTTTTGAGTTCCTAAAGCATGTTACATATGGCTTGAATAGACCCAAAAATAGAGATGGGGAGAAAGGGCTTGTTGGATGTTCAGTCTGTAAAGTGATAGCTTTGGCAAGTTTAAATGAGTAATTTCATAAGAGAGACAATTTGTACTGTTAGATAACAAAGTGTTTACAGATTTATTCACAAGTTGAATCTTCAGGAGAAAAGAGCAGTAGTCCTAAGTTCACTCCCTTATAAAGTACAAGATTAGCCCACCTATTCTTTACTCACTATTGAGAAAACAGTCTCCAAGCAGGGAATATTTGCTCATACGTAGGTAAAATTGAAAATCTTTCCTGAGTAATAATGGATGCAGAGTTATCAACACCTCGTACGTGGCTGATAAAAGTTTGTCTCAAGCAATTCATATAGTAATTATGACCAAAAAAGGGGTTGAAAATTGATACTGAAAATCCAGACTGCTTGTCCATTAGATCATGCTTTACATGTGGCAAAGCTTTCTTCCCACTTTCCGCAAGAAAAGTGGTTTATATCCTTTAAGCACGATATTCATTTACGCTTACCTTAGCTTTGCATACCTATAGACACTGGAGGTCATGAAATTTTCTATGCTGGCCACAGTATTGAACTGACCTGTTCCAGCCAGCAGCTCCCCAGGATGTCTGTAAGCTGCAAACAGCTTGGTTCCTGCAACCTCCTGCCTTTTTGTTAATCGCCCTAGCACGCCTTTATCAAGGGAATGACATTCTTCCAGTGTTCGCTTGTACTGGAAGACTGCAGCATGCTTCCCAAAAGAGAACAAACTGGCCAGAGCCACTAAGGGAAAGACTGCTTCAAAAATATCTAGTTAATTGCCTCCTGTATTTGAGACTCACGAGGTGCCAGACTTCAGATTGCTGGGTAGGTAAATTTTAGTAACCAGCTGCAGCATAAAGCAGAGTTGTTTGTTTGTTTGTTTGTTTGTTTTAATAGCCAAGCTAAAAAACTCTAGAATGCATGCATCTGAAGGAACTCACAAGTCTGTCCAAAACCATCGGCAAGAGCTACTACTTATGCGCTCAACTGATGTAAGATATTTATACCAACGACAGAACCTAAGTACAACACAATGTATAATATTGTACTTGACTGAATCTTAACTGCACCAGCTACTTATCCTTTAGCCTGGATCTTATTTAATTTAGCCCAATATTGAACACTGAATGAGATTAGGATTGTTACCTATTTTTTCCATATCTGTCAAAACAAGGAAAAAAAATAACTGAATACACATAACAGCAACAAGCATTTGGAAAGAAAAAACACTTATCTTCAATTAAAATAACCACAGAGAAGAAAAACATATTAACCCTTCACCACACTACAATCCCCTTTGAGAAGCACGTTAGCCCAGAAATTAAGTCTTTTGAAGATAAGAGAGTTGCACTTGAGTAGATTTAGTAATTTCGTAGATTTTTAGTAATTTAGTAGATTATTTCGTAAATTTGGCACATAAGGAGTAAAATGAACACATACGACCATTCAAAATATTATCCTGACAACAAAGCGCGATACCAGCTTTTGCTCTAAGCAATGATTAATATTCTTTCCCTTCTCTGAATTCACAGCAGTGCTAAAGATTCTGGAAACAAGTAGAGAAAAGGAAAGTAAGAATATTACATGGTTTCTTCACAGAAATGGCATAATTAAGTGCTAGACC